GGGGGACACAGAATCGGAAGCAGGCTCCTGGCTCCGAGCTGTCAGCACAGAGCCGGATGCAGGGCTCAAACTCACCAACCGCAAGATCATGACCTGAGCCAAAGTCGGACACTTAACTGACTGAGCCACCCAGGTGCCCCATAATTTTGTGTTTTAAATAATAGATTTCCTGAACCTCTATAAAACGGTGATTTATGAAATGCCCTGCCCTGCCTAAGTAGCAGGCATGAATGCAGGAGTATACATGCTCCATGTTCTCAGTGGCAGGCAGGCCGAAACAAGAAAAGTGTGTAATAGTCCATTTGGGTGGATGTGGAAAAAAAAAACACAAAGGCATATAACCAAAGCTTTTACACTCCTGTGGCCAGCTGGAGATCTGGTTCTCTAAAGGGTTAATGGTACAGGGACCACAGAAGGTTGCCTGAAAGATGTATGTTGTGAGAGATACTATCACATAAGGGGGATTTCTGGACAAAGGAATGAAGGGACAAATAAAAAAAAAATGACCCATAGAAAAGTAATCCAAATAATTTTCCTCCTACTCCATTGTAGTGTATACCTGTCACTTATTTTAATAAGAAGGAGAATTTAAAAGTATGTTTATGCAAACATGTATTATGTATATGGCACACACCTTTTAAAGGTCTTTTTAGGGGCGCCTGGGTGGCGCAGTCGGTTGAGCGTCCGACTTCAGCCAGGTCACAATCTTGCGGTCCGTGAGTTCGAGCCCCGCGTCAGGCTCTGGGCTGATGGCTCAGAGCCTGGAGCCTGTTTCCGATTCTGTGTCTCCCTCTCTCTCTGCCCCTCCCCCGTTCATGCTCTGTCTCTCTCTGTCCCAAAAATAAATAAATGTTGAAAAAAAAAATTAAAAAAAAAAAAGGTCTTTTTAAAAAAACAACCGCTTAAAAAAATTGTTTTAATTGTCTTTCATCCTTACACCTCTGGACTTTCCCTCACTTCTTAGCCAATGTGATTTATTTCTTATCAAACATTACATTACAAATTCACCAGAGTGGCTAAGTTGATGGGAACAGGATAGAATGCCATATGTGCCTTAAGGCAGTTATCCTGCTGGTTTGCAGCAAATAATCAATCCCAGATTTGTTTATTGGGTGTAGCTTTAATGCGTGAATTGAAAATACGTATCTTAAAACCCATGATCCTTAACCACTGAATATTAACAGAAACTTGTTTCAATACTGGTGTTAACTCTAGGAGATAGCAGAAAAATAGTCAAGGGAAGTATTTAGAAATAAAATACACCATAAAATATTAACACTTATTTATATTGAAATAATAATAAAATAATACTTTCACACTGCAAACTCAGAAAGCATAAGAGAGTCTAAAGAGAAAAACCAGAACAACCAAATCCTATCTCTAGAGAGAGTGCTACGACAGTAATGTGTTTTCTCTACTAGTCACGTACGAAACATATATGTGTATGTTCCTGCAAATTGAGATCGATTAAGGAGACATTCTTGTATCTTTACTATCTTCTCTGGTATTTCATCAGCCGTTTCTCATGTCACTAAGTATTCTTCAAAAACAAGATGTTTTCATAGCTACATAAATGTTCTCCCGTATGGTGGTACCATG